GCGCGATGCGCTCCATGACTCACAGGGGACAGTGGTGGGGGTTTGTTGTGACGGCCAGAAGTGGCTTATAACTACTCACACATAATAAGAGAGATATTTGCGTCCGAAATTTTCTCATTTTTTGACAAATACCTAATAGGCCATTTCAAATGATATTGAAAAAAGTTAAATGCAAAAGTTGTAGAGCAAAAAAAATAATAGAAATGAAAAAAAAAATTCGGACGGGTTGCACACATAATAAGAGAGATATTTGTGTCCGAAATTTTCTCATTTTTTGACAAATTCCTGATACTGGAGGAACGCCTTAGCTTCGTGCAGCAGCTTCACGCCGAACTTACGATTCGCAATTGTTTTGAGGTAAGCGTTCAGTCGGACGCAAACCCGTACAAGGTGGCTAAAACATACTACAATGTTATTTTTCATTACAAGTTAGAAGCCGAAGTATTCCTGCTGTAGATTTCCGTGATCCCGGATGTAGATTTTGGAGTCTTCGACTTCCTGGACGTGGATTTTCGAGCGTTTGTGTTCCTCGCCGTAGATTGTGGAGTCTACGGCGAGAACCACGAAGACTCTAAAATCTACGGCGAGGAACACGAAGGCTCGAAAATCCACGTCCAGGAAGTCGAAGACTCCAAAATCTACATCCGGGATCACGGAAATCTACAGCAGGAATACTTCGGCTTCTAACTTGTAATGAAAAATAACATTGTAGTATGTTTTAGCCACCTTGTACGGGTTTGCGTCCGACTGAACGCTTACCTCAAAACAATTGCGAATCGTAAGTTCGGCGTGAAGCTGCTGCACGAAGCTAAGGCGTTCCTCCAGTATCAGGAATTTGTCAAAAAATGAGAAAATTTCGGACACAAATATCTCTCTTATTATGTGTGCAACCCGTCCGAATTTTTTTTTTCATTTCTATTATTTTTTTTGCTCTACAACTTTTGCATTTAACTTTTTTCAATATCATTTGAAATGGCTAAGATAATTTTTTTTATTTGCGACCGGAAGTTAAGCGAACAATAATAATATGCCCATTCGATGCGTAATCAAAAAATATTCAATGGTTGTGACATCAGATTTTCGAAATTGTGCACAGTTTATCGCAAATCTCAAACGTGCATCTGGGATGATACACTCTGTATAAAATTATTAGGGTGTATGATCCCATTATCCCCACAAGGCATAAAAATACATAAAAAAATATCGATGATATTTGTAATTCCTGAAGTAACAGTATATGCTTTATATTACTCTATCTCACAATGTATCCTGATTGTCAGGATTTTTTGGGTGCAACGGAAAAACAAAAAATTGATTGTTTTATTAATAACAAGAAACATATTCTATCGACAGCAACGCAAATAAACATTATTTTAGACACCGAGTAGCGTCACTTTGTTATGCATCGTTGCAAGATTCCTATAAAATTAATAACAGCGCTGCATCGAGACCCATCCTGGGAAGATGTACCACTGTTTAGTTAACACTTGGACGTCTCCGGAGACATTGTTCCTATTTGTAAGTAATTGCTGGTGTGATAATCTCCGAATCGATAATAGCCAATTTACGAAACATACGTGAATGTATAATAATCAATTTCGTGGGGTCTCACAGGTTAAACACACCTAGAAATCCGAAATTATTTTCAACGGTGTGGTGTCGCGAATTGAAATATTTAGGGTTTCGTTTGCTGACACGTCAATTAAAAAGCATATTCAGTCACTGTACGTTACGAGTGCTAGCCCGAAAGCATAGACTGGGTAACTTCAAGAATGATCCATACATATTGGAGGTAGCTGTCAACTGTATCACCAAGCGTGGTGTGCGTGATAACAAAATTACAAGAGCCATCATGCAAGACCACGTGTACCACAGAGGTATATATTTCCATCTACGAATAACATTGCTTGAAAAAGAAATGTATCTTTAAAAACAAATGTCGTAAGAATTGACAAGTTTCCGCACTGAACACGTCGAAGCGGAGACTTTGATGCTGCAGAAATGTCTCGATGATGTGACAGGGTGCTTTGCAAATGACGGAAAAATAGCCTATCACGATAATTTAAAAAAAATTACAATAACTAAATGTGCACATTTATCTAAGCTATATATTTTATATAAAGCCACTACCAGCCCCATCAACGCTACAAAACATCGGAATGCTTTGTACGGACGCTGGTATGTGTCTATTATAATTTGTAGTTGTAAGACGTGTATTATTGAAAAATTTTTTTTCTGCAGATAAATCCAAAGTAGTAACAGCGAGAACACCTGGCATACACAATGCCTGTATGATTGTTATAGCGAAGAAAGCGATGGCAGTAGCAATAGCTTTATTAACTCCAATCATGAATCTGTAGGAGGTAACGACCAATGTTTTAATAATAACAGCAATTGCGAATGATCAGAAAAATTCATATATTAAAAAAAAATCGGAGTCATGGATAATTCACGCTAATGTCCTTTCACCTAACAACGGACCATTCGGAGTGCCAAGTTCCCCGGTCATTCCCCCATCACCGCATTAGGAAGATATCGCTGAAGAAGAAGCGCGAAAAGCGCTACTAGCCAGCGATACCGATGACACGGACGGTGATACAGACTCCGATGACGATGCACAGAATATTTCCGAAACCATGTAGCCGGTTTTCCCGAAAAAGGTAACAACATATTGATGTTCTGTACTACTACTGTCGTTTTCAGTAGAAATTACTAAATCTTGAAATGTAAGGAATGGTGAAATCGAATGAGACGCGTTATTCTCGTACATAGGACCGGAGATTATTCCTCGTGAAGAATTAGAAGTTAGTGCGCTTGTTAATAATTTTACAGTATTTGGTAATTGGAATAAAAAATATATTGTTCAATCACTAAATGCTACGGATGACGACGAGATGTGCTATCAAACTGGATGTGGCCGTATTATTCAATCAAACGAGGACGACGATGCTCGTTGCAGCAGCGGTATACGTAGAACGCGGTGAGGTGCGCTCGGGAGAATTACACGAGAAATGGGAATCTGTGCGCTCAGAATGGGTTAGATCACAAAAACAATTTGCTCTTGAACCTATGAGAAACGTCGGTGTAGATATACCGTCTGACGGGTGTGGCACTCAGGAAATCAACAACTTTCAAAGATACCTCGCGCAAAAGGGTATAGTCATTGTTATTTACGAGTTTGAGAACATAGGAACCGGTGAGAAACCGTTGTACGACGGATCGCAAATCGTTGATATCGGATACGGATCGGAAAAACCGCGGCAGACGCTCCGCATTTTATATTATAATAATTTGAAACATTATCAACCGATTCTAAATTTACAGGGCGCGGTTGGGAGTCGCGGTTTTTGTATACCATGTAACCAGGCCTATACAAACGTGACAGAGCATGAATGCTGTCACAAATGTACCAGATGTTTCGGACAACCACTCTGTGATACGAGTCTCCCCACCGTGAAATAATGTCTCAAATGTTATAGGTATTTTTTCGGCCCAACATGCCTTGATAACCATATAAACATCCTACTTAACAAACGAAATGGAAAAGAAAAGAACGTCTGTCAATCCGTGCGCAATTGCCCATAATATCTTAGAACTCTTCAAAGAACGAAGGGGAAATACTCTTGTGATAGAGGGTACTACAGTAAAAGAGAGTTTGTAAAAGCGTAAACGACACAGAGCTTCAGTGTTACATAAGACCTGTGAAAAATTTAACCAGTCAACAAAAAATACTGTACTTATTTTACGATTTTGAAAAATAGCAGATAAACAAACTACCCGGTGATGACACAACGTACATTCATACTCCAAACCTGTGCGTTGTTCAACAAGTCTGTGCCATTAACGATTCTGATCTCAGGAAACTGTGCCCATCCTGCGGTGTACGCGAATATATTGTCCAACAGGATCCAGTCAAACAATTTGTCGAGCTCGCATGCGATCCCGCAAGGAAGTCGTTTCAGCGCGCTATTTTCATAACACATAACGTCAAGGGTTTCGATGCGCAGTTTATATTGAGATATCTCTTGAAGTGGAAAAGGGTAAGTATAAAACCCCCAACATTATAACTGAATGGTACAAGCATCATATTGATGAAAACCGGTCGTGTAACTTTTATAGATAGTCTTAATTACAGTGGAATCTCTCATAGCGTACACTCTCATAGCGTACGAGGGCGGAGCGTCGGGACGTAGTAGGTTGGTTGGAGGGGATTGATCAGAGCCGTCGCACATACACTTCAGAAGGGTGCTTAAGAGGAGTGACCGTAATTGTTTTAAAACGTGCTATGGGAGATGTTTCATTTGCGCTTCAATGTTGTCAAATTTTTCATATTAAAAAATATTTTATTTTGTCAATAAAATTTATTATAAAATGATAAAATTTGATATGCACAACGCGTATTAAAAGCAACTATTTCGTTAAAAATAATACTCTTTAAACACATAAGTTTTCTTTTTCTTAATGTAAATAAAGCTTTGATGCAGCGGAGTTTTTTTTACGGTTTCAAGAGTTTTTAAGGCTCTTTTTTTTTATTGTTCTGCAACGCGACTCTAATCACAGAGCGAATTTTTCTTAGCTCGTGCAAACTCTTAGGATTACAATTTTTCTTTGATTCCAACCACATTGAAATGATTTTAACTGAAGCAAGAGCATCTTTCGCTGTTGGCTTTTCCAATAGAGTTTCGTCGTCCTCATCTGCAGTATCTGAGACATCAGCTGTAGTACGATTCAGTTCTCATTGGCAACTTGGAGTCTGGAATATAATTTCAAAAAACGTGCAAGATATTAGAAAATGGTTATACCCATTATTTATATACACGTCGGGCAGATAGAACTGTAAATTCAAAGAAAACAGCGCTATTTCATAAAACTTTGTCTCCAAATTCCCTAATTCGCAGAACGACCGAATTCGTGAAGATAATAAAAACTATGTAACAAACTTCAAGTGCTGTAAGAGCTACAATCTCCTTGTCGGATAAAATTTGCCAGCACGGGTCATTTCAATCATTATTCAGCCATGCCGCGGTATCATCTTCGTCGCATCCACCACAACCGGGTATACAATGAAGTATTCGCAACGTTTCCGAAACATTCATAGCGTTCTCAGTAGGCTCTAAGACTTGCGCGTTCGAAGTGCCTATATTCAATGGCTTCCATGCTCTTCGGATATTTTCTGCAGTCACGGTATCCCATGCATCTGATACCATGTAACAACAATCTTTGAAAGTAAAGCTTTTCAGTAACTGCGTTACGCTTTCTTCACTATCTCCAAGAAGTTTGCTGAGAACGTTTTTCTTGTACATTCGTTTTAATTTTTCGATCACCCCTTGATCCATTGGCTGCATTATCGCTGTGACATTTCGGGAAAAAAAATCAACGACGAAATCAGGATAAGCAGCAATGCACTCTGGTGATAGCTTGTGCGAAGGCGCGTTGTCAATCAGCAAAACGACTTTTCCGTTTCTGCCCGTACGTCGCTGCTCCTCTTGAACTTCAGATACAAAGCACTCGGTAAACGATTCTTCAAACAACTCCCGATCCATCCACCTACTTTTTTGATTTTTGTAAATTACGGGTAAAGTAGTCACGTGTTTGAAGCAGCGGGGGTTCTTGGATTTCCCTGTGACTAGGATTTTCAATTTATGGGTTCCCGTTGCATTAGCGCAGAGCATGATAGTGATGCGATCCTTCATCACTTTCCGACCTGGTGCAGTCTGCTCAGACTGACTTGCAAGTGTTTTGTTAGGCAGTGACTTCCACTGCAAGCCACTCTCATCGACGTTATAAATATTTTCGGGATCGTATCCTTTTTCTTCCATTTCCGCAGTAAAACGACGAAGAAATTGTTGGCCAGCTTCGACATCACTTGAGAGGCTTTCTCCTTGAATACTTAATTGACGAATCCCATGTCGCTCTTTAAATCTGCAATGCAAAATATCAAAGTTGAATTTTTCACGGTTTTCTTGAATCTCATCAGTACAAAAATAATCATAATTCAAAGCCGAAATAGATCAGATACAATACATACAATAGTTTTTTTTATTGTTATTCAATCTAAGCAACCTATATTGATCAAAGAGAAGCTGTAAGATATCATTCAAATAACATTATTTGTCAATAATTGCTAGATAATTGAAATTGCACAAAAATTATCTATATCCATGGGACTTCGCAGCTATTAAAATAATTCTTACCTCCACAGCCAACCGTTGCTGGCTTGAAAATTCTCAGGACCTTTGAGCATGCGATTGATTTGAATCGCTTTCATTTGCAGGATTGCGCCTGACACCGGCTCTCCTAGTAAACTTTTCTGATGAAACCATTTGAATAATGCAACATCGAGAGGCTGGTTTTCCATGTTGTTCATTCGTTTCTTCTTGAGTGAACCTTCCTTATCAGTTATTATTGAGCCATATTCCTCCAGTTCTTTTCTTTTGCCTTTAATGCGACAAATAGTTGGATGGGTGACGTTATACTCAGCAGCCAGTTTCGTCACTGATTCTCCTTTCTCCAGCCGAGCTAGAATTTCTAATTTTTCAGAAAAATCTATTCGCCGGTAGTTAGGATTTTTGCTCATAGCGATTTTTTTTAAACAACGCTGAAATTAATCATTTCAAGGTTAAAATTTCGTTGTAAACAAGAACGTTTTTTCGAGGTTATGTCTACTTGTCATACCGGCACGAGCGAACACGGGGTCTGCAGTCACGGCACTGCACGAGTGTCAAGGAAGGGGAATGATGGGGATAGCAGTCGATCGTCTACAGCCGGTTCTGGCTCGCGATTGGTACTTCAGATAGCGTACATTGTCTCCCTATTACGTACGCTATGAGAGTACTTCCACATGCCCCTACGTGCCTTACCAAAAACTTTTGGTCTTTCGGCTACTGATGTCTTGAAACAAGGAATCTTTCCACAACTATTCAACATAGCTGACAATCAAAACTATATCGGTCCGCTACCACCGATCCAGTCTTATTCACCTGAGACAATGTCACCAACGCAGCGTCACTGTTTTTATCGTGGTATAGCGAACAACAAGCCGCGGGCTATGTATTTATCTTTCGAACGGAATTTATCGATTATTGTAAAACAGATCTCACTATCCTAAAAAAAGCGTGTGCCTCTTTTCGTAAAATGTTCCTGCGATACGGTAACGTTTGCCCCTTTTCAGAAAGCACTACCAGAGCCTTGGCGTGTTAGAGGGTTTTTCGGAAAAACTATTTGCGCGATGAACAAATAGCTATTTTACCATCGGGTAGGTATCGGTACGGCGACAACCAATCGCGTAAAGCGCTGTTATGGCTCCTTTCGCTGGAACGCTGTCTGGGGTGTACCATAGCCCATGCTGGACGTACACGGGAATACCGCTTACCGGGGGGTACACCTGTTGACGGGTATCATCACGATGTCGATACCGATACTGTTTCTGATTGCTGGATTAACGAGCAGGAGCAGTCTGAATTATACGGAGAACTAAACAATAACCCACTGATGTCGCAGGAACCACTTTAAACCCGCGATGCTTTCTTCAGCGGTCGTACAGGGAACACCGCCAGTTTTTATGAGATCGAGGGGTCGGAGAGAATACACTATGTTGATGTATGCTCGCTCTACCCATTCATATCGAAAATAGGTAAATTTCCCATCGGTCATCCGAGGGTATATGTGGGCGACGAGTGTTACGAATTAACGGGTGAATCTTATAACATTGATAACGTGGAGGTCTGATTAAATGCATTGTATACCACCGCGGAATTTGTATTACCCTGTTTTACCAGTGCGTATGAATGGCAAGTTACTCTTTGCTCTGTGTCGTTCTTGCGCCGAGTCTACTCCGTAGAAATCCTGTCCACAGGAAAACCCCGAGGACAGAGTATTCGAAAGAACCTGGGTTGTGGACGAGGTTAAACGCGCTATATGTAACGGGTATAAGATCACGCGTATACACGAAATCACGCAGTACAACCCAACAACGTGGACGGGTGGTCATTTTGCCCGCTATATCAATACATTTTTCAAAATCAAGCAGGAGGCGAGTGGTTGGCCGTGTGAATGCGTCGATAACAAGAAGGCTCAGCAGGCATACATAGAGGAATATGAAAGGGTATTCGTCTTGATCCTGATAATATACAACCAAACCCTAGTCTACGGTCCGTAAAGCAAAGCTATGTCTAAATTCTTTTTGGGGCATGTTTGGTCAACGCGAAAATTTACCTAAAACAGAAATCGTGACAACACGTCAGAAACTCGTGAATTTACTCGCATGTCCAGAGATCGAAATTACAGATATTTTACCTATAGACGATGAGATGCTTTACTTTAACACGCGAAATACGAAAGATTCTTTGATACCGACACCGTACACCAACGTCGTTATAGCTGCATACACCACGGCTCAAGGTCGCCTTCAACTAGATGACTATCTGGAGAAATTAGATCGAAGTGTGCAGTATTACGATACCGACTCGTGTATACAGGGTGTTCCGAAATTACGTGACGCGGTGGGTATGGCAGTGTTCGGGAGGCTTCATTGATCACGAAAATGACCTTCTTTTTGTCCAGAAGGTCATATTTTTTAAATGGGAGCAGGTCAAAGTTGACCAATTAGAGCGAGGCATCAAGAGAAAGGTAGGCACCTACGAACTTTGAGTTTTCTTCCCTCGCTTTTGTTTCTCGGTGACTTCGGGCAGGATGGCGTCAGCCGAAGATATGCCTATTGGATGTCACTCGCTGAGAACGGAGGTTCTCAGTTGAAAAGTCAAGCACTAACTAAAAACTGCAATGTCCTATGATAATGCCATTCGACTCAGACAAATATCTCTGTGACGTCTTACATAGGTTATTCTGATCTCGCCTTTCTTTCATTGATCTGCAGCGATTCGTGCTACATTCCGTTGACGAATTGCAATCGAATCTGTTCTAGTCGTCAATTGCATAAGAATTTTATTGCGATTCGACAACGGGATGTAGCACGAATCGCTGCAGATCACTGAAAGAAAGGCGAGATCAGAAGAACCTATGTAAGACGTCACAGAGATATCTGTGTAAGTCAAATGGCATTATCATAGGACATTGCAGTTTTCAGTTAGTGCTTGACTGTTCAACTGAGAACTTATGTTCTCAGCGAGTGACATCCAATAGGCGTGTCTTCGGCTGACGTCATCCTGCCCGAAGCCACCGAGAAACAAAAGCGAGGGAAGAAAACTCAGAGTTCGTAGGTGCCTAGGTTTCTCTTGACGCTTCGCTCTGATTGGTCAACTTTGACCTGCTCCCATTTAAAAACTAAGACTTTCGGTAATTTCGGAACACCCTGTATACGTGTCGGGTGGGTGCCACAGTGATAACGATTACACGCCACCGCTCGGTAGTCTTTTCGGCGATTTAACAGACGAGCTAGAGTCATGCGGTGTTGGTAGCTACATCACGTCCTTCGTATCCAGAGGTCCGAAATTTTATGCGTATAAGGTGTGTAAACGTTGAGGTGTGTAAAGTAAAAGGTATCCCCACAAAAACACTTACATGTAAAGAACTACGCCAACTACAGGAGTGCTGTGTATTCCTCTAATAAAAAGTATTGATATCAGATTATTGACACCAAGTACATAAGTCACTACATGTTTGCCTATTATATGATCTAGTACTGGCCCATTATTTTAATTGTATTTTCAACATTTCCTATAACGTTTTCACTACTCTTTTACATTACTACTGCTTCCCATAGTTGATTATGATTTAATGATGACTTAATAATTAATAAAACTTTAGTTGATTCCTTCTCGAGTACTACTTGGCGGGTCCGTGCATTTCTTGACATAAATTTACGTTCATTATGCCAGTCATCAAACTCAAAACCAATGTCAACTTTCTCTATAGAGCTTATTAACAATAAGTTGTCGGAAATAATCACGGTAAAAGCCTAATAACAAACATATAGTTTTAGGATACTATTCGTACGTTCAAAGTAAGTACTTTGGAATTCCTGGCACGGATCCGCTAAGTAGTACTCGATAAGGAATCATCTAAAGTTTTATTAATTATTAAATAACCATTAAATCGTAATCAACTATGGGAAGCAGTAGTAATGTAAAAAAGTAGTGAAAACGTTATAGGAAATGTTGAAAATACAATTAAAATAATGGGCCAGTACTAGATCATATAATAGGCAAACATGTAGTGACTTATGTACTTGGCCTCAATAATCTGATATAAATACTTCTTATTAGAGAAATACACAGCACTTCTGTACTTGACGTAATTTTTTACATGGAAGTGTTTTTTTTGGGGGGGATATCACAAGTTTTTATTGCTCAACGGGATATAGAAGCTCTAAGCACTGAAATCCATATTTTTACAGATATGAAATGTAAAAATTGTGATGCATTGTGATGCCGCTAATCAAAAAAATATATTGCGTTGTCGAGAATATTTAATGGCATATCAATTTAATTTGTGAGTCTCTTTTTTTTAAGAAAAGCATAAAGATATATACAAATTTTTAAAGAAAATGTAATCTTCAATGCACATAAGCATCGTTACTGGTGTCGAGCTTGTTGAAGCAGTGTGGTAAACGTAAGAGAGGAGAGTGTGCTGGATTATTTACTTACCTCAGGCCGTGCGAACAACAGAGAGGATACTATAGATTGAGCAAAGCGCCGACCTGGACACCCTGGACTTCCACGCCCGACACCCAGATACAAGAAATTACGGAGCGGAATACCTGGACACCCTGGACTTCCACATCTAGTACCTAGATACAAGAAACTACGGAGCGGAACACCTGGACGCCCTGGACTTCCACGCCCGACACCTAGATACATGAAACTACGGAGCGGAACACCTGGACACCCTGGACTTCAATATCTAACCCCTACATACAAGAAGCTACGGAGCGGAACACCTGAACACCGTGAACTTCCACGTCTGACACCTAAATGCAGGAAACTACGGAGCGGAATACCTGGACACCCTGGACTTTTACATACGACATCTAGATACAGGAAACTACGGAGCGGAACATTTGGACACCCTGGACTTCCACGTCCGTCACCTAGATACAGGGAACTACGAAGAGGAACACCTGGACATCCTGTATCTCTAAAAACTGTCACCTAAAATACGAGGAACTATGCCGAAGCACACACATACATACACCCATGCACACGCGCTCCACATGTAAGCCTTAATAATTCTATACTATTGTGAAAGCAGCCTTATATTAACTGGAAATTCGGTGTGAACGGTAGTTTCACGTATAAAGTGTATTTGATTGTGTTGTGTATTCGTAAATTACCAACACCATCCAGAGTACAAATAGGTAAAGAAGGCAAAGCAGTCAGCGCCATCTGTTCTGTAAAAAAGTAAATGGACGTGCGAAGACGATGACGATGATGTGACGTGACGCTCGTTTCGGATTGTTACCCTACGGTTTTATGTAACCACCATTGTATATAGTTCATAAACATTCTAAGCGATAGTAATATTTTATATACACCTGTATGTATGCGTGTAATAAATATTATTATAACAATATTCTTAAAGTATCTATAATAAGATAAAACACCTCAACCCATTATGTTA